ATGGAAGGGAGTTCCTTTGAGGAGATCACCGCGGCGCCGTCCACCTCCCAGGTGAGCGTTCAGCCAGCGGGTCAGGGTCAGGCCCATGTGGACACGATGGACCTTCATGCCACCCTCGTAGCGATTCAGGCGCAACTTAGTACGCTTCGACCGTTGCAAGCGCAAATCAATGCGCTTGCCCTTGACGTCAACCGCCTCAAGGGCTCTCCTCATCACTCTCCCCACCGCTCCCATACCCCATCCCCTACCGGCTCCGAGTCCAGCTCCCCACGACTCCAGAGTCGGAGACATCGTGGTTACCCCTCCTCTACGGGCCAGACCCAACACTCCCCCGCAGCAGTGGCGAGTGCTGCTGCCGCTCAGACCACCCCGTCTGTTGCCGCAGTTCTCCCGGCCACGGCCGCCCCTACCGTGTCTACTACTGCCGTAGGTGCTGCGGTCCAGGTACCGCCTCGAGGCCCAGCAGTTTCATCGACCCACACCGGTGTTGCTTCCCAGCTTCCCGCACCGATCGCGGCAATACGGCTCCGCCCTCTTCTTCCCGCCTTTGTCCCCCCACCCTCACAGCAGGGTACCGCCCAGGTTGGGTTTCCTCCTCCCACTGGGAGACCCGCTCCGCCCCCTCCACCTCCGACCCCGCGCACCCAGCGTGTGACCACTTTACAGGCCACCATTGCGCAGGCTCAGGCGGAGATTCTCGCTCTGAGACAGCCTCACCCATCACAGGCTGCCCACCCTTCTTCCTCTACCACCCCTTCGATCCCCATGATGCAGGCTCGTTTCCCTCGACCTGCTCCTCAGCCTCTTCCCTCCTACCTGGCTATTCCGGGACACCTGCCTGCGGCCGTTGCCTCCTCGTCTGCTGGTCCATCCGCTAGCGGCCACGGCCCACAGCCTTCCCCCACCTCTGCCCCTGCAGTGACCTCAACTTACGCTGCCGCAGTGCACTCGCCTCGATCTCTCTCCCCCCGCCATCAGCACAGTGGACATCCTCTTGTGCGCACCACGGACATTCCCGATTATGATGGCACAACCCGTGTCTCTCGCTGGTTGCAGATAGCAACGTGCACGCTCTCTATGACGACCACCCGTCAGGAGTTGTGGTGCAATGTGCGCGTAACCAAATTGCGAGGTAGCCCTTCCACTGCGTGGGAGGATCATTATACCCAACGCCTCCGCGTGGGTGAGGTCCCCACTCTGGCCAACTTCGCGGCCTTCCTTCAGGACCGTTTCGGCGCTCGTCATGACGCCACCGACGCCTTAGACCGCGTCACCCATACCAGATGGTCCGGGTCCTCTCTACCGGCCGACCTGGAACGTCACATCCGGGTGTTTCAGGACGCTCGCCTTGTTTATGACGAGACGTTCCTACCGGAGGTCGCACTCACCGACCGGTTCCTTGTCAGCCTGCCGACTGACTATCGCCTAGAGCTATGGAGGCGATCATTCTCTTCCGCGGAGCAGGCATACGAGGTTGCGCGTCAGTACCAAAGGATGTGCAGTCGCTTCTCCGTCGCCCCATCCTCTTCGCAGCCAGCCGCCACCTCTCAGTCTCGGGGTACCACCCGAGTTCGCTCCTCGTTTGCTGGTCGTTTTCGTCGCCCGACCCGCCCTGGAGCGTCATTCTCTCAGTGCTACAGTTCTCTGGAGTACGGCGAGGACGCCTCGGCCGAGTTTGACCCTACCCTTGGGGACGCCCCCCGAGGACATCGAGCTACGAGACGTCATCCAGTATCACTTGGATGACGACACTGTTCCGGTGGCCGAGCGCTTGCTAATGGCCATGTCTACCATGGGTCGTGCTCGTAGTCGGGTTGCACAGGCTGGCGCCCGCACACCCACGGTCCCTCAGATACACCTCCCGCAGGGTTATGTCCCTCCTCGCGGAGCTCTATCCCCTGAGGAGCGTGCCGCCCTCGAGGCCCGGCACGGCTGCCTTCGTTGCCGCCTAGATGGACACACCTCCTCAAGGTGTCCATACCATACCGCCCTCGATCGGCACTACGCTGACATCTCTCGTCAGCGTCGATCTCAATCCCCCCCCGGCCCCGCCCGGCCAACCCCATCCACCTAGCCACGGTGCACTGTGCCCCTGAGGCCTCGCACGTAGCCGGCTTTCTGACCACCGAGACGCAGTTTGCCCCTTTGGCTACCCCACCAGAGGACCCTCAGGACACGATAGACGCAGTTCTCTCCGCCCCATCGTCTATCGAGGTACCGTCTGCCTCCCAGCAGACTGCCGCATCTAGCGCTTCTCGCTTGAGACTTCCGACGCGTCGCGCCTTTCGCATAGCCCGTTGTGGCGAAGGGGACTCGATGGGTTTGACCACACTTCGTTTTGAGAACGAGTGTCTCAAACGCCCATTCGGCCTCTGTGCTACGGAACCGGCGAGACCAGGGAGTGCCAAGGATAAAGTAGTACCCAGTCTCCAGCACATCGAAGTAGGCGGAGAAATGGTAGCGCCGAGGCGCCTGGGTACTATCCGGTGGCTGGAGGGTGAGGGAGAAGTGGAGGTCAGGGACCGTCTGATCGAAGAAGCGATGCTTCTTGTTATCTCCGAGGGTAACGGAGATAGGAGAGCGAGACCCAGAGGTAGCTAGGCGAGCTTCCTCAACCACTCGAGGGCGAACGAAATCTCCCTGCGAGCCAGAGTCCCATAAAGCGAGGTACACCCTCGTAGATGTCCCTAGGCGAATAGGGATGATGGGTAGGGTGCGATCACGGTCAGAGAGCAAGGCGAGAAGACGACGCAGGACGTTGATGTGTCTCGTGAGGCGCTCCTGACGAGCCTGTAGAATGCTCAAGTCCAGGAGAGATGACACAACGTCATCGCGAGTCGCCTCGTCCTTTTGGGTCCCACCCAGACATCTCCTTTACTTCTCCCCGTCAGTTTGCTCACTTCATCCGACAGCAGGACGTCACGCTCTACTCAGTGAACGTCATGGATCTTCTTCGCTACGATCCACTCTGTCCCGAGGTTGAGCTCATCTCATTGGAGCCCGATCCCCCTGACCCTTCCTCCATCTTCGCGGCTCCCATCTCTACATCCACCCCGCAGCCTGCGGATACCCCCTCGACATCCCAGGTTCCTACGCCGTCCACTGCCAAGTCCACCCATACGTCTCGTGCCGACGCAGACGTTGAGGAACTCATGCGGCTCACGGCTGACTTAGAGCCCGTCATTCGCGACCTGATTCGGGAGTACCGCGACGTCTTCCCCCCGTATTTCTCATACAGCGGGATTCCCCCGATGTGCGGTGTCGAGCATTCCATCCAGCTCGTGCCTGACTATCGTGTTCACCATCAGGCACCATACCGACTCTCGATTCCAAAGGCGACGGAACTCGAGCATCAGCTTGAGGAACTCCTTCGACTTGGTTTCATTAAACCTAGTACCTCCCCTTGGGGTGCACCTATCCTCTTTGCTCGCAAAGCGGACGGAACTCTCCGCCTCTGCATCGATTATCACGGCCTTAACCGTTACACGGTTAAGAACAACTATCACATGCCCCGCGCGGATGAGCTGTTTGGCCGTCTAGCAGGCAACCGCTTCTTCACGAAGATCGATCTTCGTAGCGGTTACCACCAGATCCGCGTTGCCGCAGAGGACCAGCCGAAGACCGCCTTTCGGTCGCGCTTCGGCCACTACGAGTTCACGGTGATGCCATTCGGCCTCACCAATGCACCCGCCACCTTCCAGACGGCGATGAACGACATCTTCAGCGGCATCCTTGAAGAATACGTTCTCGTATACCTGAACGACATCCTGGTCTACAG